GGGGGGGGTGCAGAACAAAGCATGATGTGATTTGGGAGAGCCCAGAGCAGGCCAGTGTGGCTAGAGAACAGGGGGCAGTGAGAGCTAAAGCTAGAGAGAGAAGCTGGGACCTGAGCAGAGAGAACCTTCAACAGCAAGCTAAATAATTTAGCAGTGAACTGTCACTGCTAGTGAACTGTCACCACCAGGACAAGGCTTCCTGCTGTATCATCTTGCCTGGCCCACCTAGGCCTCCTTTGCCTAATGGACAGTGGTGGCTTTCTTTTGATTGTTCTGTGTGTATGTGGTTTGGTTTTGAGGTTTTCTGTGGTTTAGTTTGTTTTTTGGCCTTTCCCTTTTCCTTACAGTTTTTCACAGCATATGGTCCTGATTATGTGTTGGAAATCACGCCAAGCTGCCGGCCAGACCGCAATGAGCCCCACCGAGTCCAGCAAATCCTCAACTACATCAAAGGTGAGCACCACCCCTCGAGTCCTGCCCTCCTCATTCCACCCAGCCTGTGGTGGCCCATCAGTGGGAGCTTCCCCAAATACCATTTGTCTTTTGGTGGCTAATCATTTCACTGACTTAGAAGGGAAACAACTTCTTGGCCTGATAGCTTGTAGCTGGAATTCCACACTGGCCACTCTGATTGGGATTGTCATTTGGCCAGCTAATGTCACCTTCAGGGGGACAAAAGGTTTATCTTTAGGTACCTCCAGTGGAAAACTAGTTCTAAAGTATGCCCTGAAACCCTTTTCCTTTTAAGAGAGCAACAGTAAAATTTTCTTAAGATGAGGGAAGTTCAAGTCAACTCAGACTTGGGGTAGGGGGAGGAGGGGCTCAAAGACATCATATTCCAGTGTAGTTCCTTGATCCAAGATGGCCTTGAGAGACTATGGGGCCACAGTGGATAGTCAGGATTCTGGTGCCCTGAGGGTGGGCTCCCCAGTCTTACCCAAAGCACTGAAGATGGGGCTGCTTCCCTATCTTGCCCTTCCCTTAGGCTGACCTACAATTATTCTGACTTCTGGACAGAGGGAAATGGCAGTCATCAGGTTGTTATACTCTTGATCACACTATCCACTAGCTGTTTGGGGATGCTGCCCTTAGCTTTCCAGTAGAGCCCCCCCCCCCAAACCCCAGGTGCTACTCCACAACTTAATTCACTTTATCTACAATATTGTAAAGTTGTTTTGGCACCCATTTTCCTGCTTAATTGAATTTGCATATATGTGTGCAAATCTTTTGGATCCTAATTATTTGCAGAGTTAAGAGGCTAAGAGTATCATATTGACCATCTCAGAGAGTGAAGTCCCCATGTTTATTCATATAACGACCAAGACAGCAGCAGTCCTCCTACCTTTGACTCCCTCGTTGGAATAGAATCCAGCATGAAAGGGAGGCTGTTCTCTGCCAGAGTTAGTCTGAGGGAACACATTATGTCCTAGGAGTCTTTGCTGAGGGTTATATTAAGGCCCCATCCTCTAGTAGAGCCCAGGCTGTGACAACAGCCAAGTCCTTAGGCAGGGACTCCACGTCCCAGGCTCCTTTGGCCAGATAAAATTTTCTAAGCTCACAATCATAAACTTCTAAGATAACGCTCACAGCAATGCCTATTGCCTCTCTGGGGTGTCGAATAGCCCTCAGCCTTCTCTTGATCCTATAGTTTCAAGCCACCTCCCTCCAACCTCTCAGTAGGTACCGACCCCACAAGCCCTCACTTCCTAACCAAATCCTCCTCCCTTTGTACAATCTTTAAGGCTTTTAAACTCTTTCTATTCCTGGCCCTTGTCCAGTCCTTCTCACTATGCTGTAGTTTTCATTAACACTAGTGCTCCCACCCTAGTTTCCTGCTGCCCCTCACAGACCCAGGACAACTTTCCTGTTTCCTTTGGGACTCATCCTGGACCAACTTCTCTTACCCCTCTTCCTTCAACCTTGCCATTTTCCCCCCATCCAGGCTTTAAATCCTGGTAGAGCACAGACAAAGCAATAGAAACAGAGAAACTAAAGCCTCTGCAGCTTCTTGTTCACACCTACGTATGTGCAGATATCTGTATGCACTCATGCTTTCCTACACACGTACCCAGACACATATCTCCAGAGTGGTGACATCTTGCTATTGAGGAAATGGAAATGACAAGCGAGAGAAGACATAAGGAAGGTAATTCAAAGGGAAGAGAACTAGGAAAGGTAAGAAACCCAAAAGAGCAATAAATTTTTAAAAGACTTGAGATAAAAGATTAGTTTGAGGGTTGGGGAAAAATAATAGAAAATCTTAGAGGACATGTAAGTTACATGTAAGTCAAGATTTTTAAAAGATCTTAACAGGTTAAAGCAATATTCTGATTATAGCACAATAAAATTAAACTGGGCAAAAATGTATGGACTAGGAATTAGGTCCTCAGAAGCATTGGACACATACAAGATGGGAAGATGTTGCTCAGCAGCATTTTGTCTGAAAGAGCTAGGGATTTTAGTCAATGCAGTTAGTGTGAGTCATCAGGACAAGGTGGCCTCCAGAGATGTTGATGCAATATCAACCTCACTTTAAAAGAGCTCCAGACAAATAGGAGCATGCTGCTGGTCAGTTGGTATGGGGAAAGGACTATAGACCAGGGTCCAAGAGGTCTGGTTAGAGGAGCTGAGGCTTTTGGAAAAAAGAAGACCCAGGGGGATGTGGTCTTTACCTCATATCTCTGAAAGGCTGTCACAGTGCAGAGGGCATAGGCAGAGGTTATGTAGTCACAGAGCACAGAGCTAGGGCCCATGGGTAGATATTATAAAAAGGTAAATTCTTATTCAACAGAAGGAAGAATTTTCTAACATTTAGCGGTGTCCAAAGTGGAGCAGGCCATCCAAAAAGGAATGAGGTCTCTGTTGGCAGAGACATACAAGTAGAGACTAAACAGTCACTTGGTAGTCATATAATACAAGGGCTCCTGCATTGATTATACTGGATTATTGTTAAGGTTTCTTCCATTCTTAAGATCCTAGGATGCTGTATGTTAAAAATGAGAAAATAGAAACACAACAAAAAGAATATGATGAGAGTGCAGGGGTTGGTAGATGAGTCATAGTTGTTGAAGGGGGAAGTAATACTGTGTACAGGAAAGAATTGATGAGAAGAAAATAAATTAAATGGCTGAGAGTGGGTGGGGAAGAGCCAGGGAGGGAGGACAGCAAGTAGAGCGGCTATAGAATACTAGGAATGCTCAGATTTTCCATTTAGCTATCTCTTTCATATTGACAAAATCTTGTGTTCTAGCCATGCAAATGAGCAGAGCACACAAGTCCAGGACCAAAAAGAAATTCAGCTAAACCTAGAAGAAATGAGGCTAGAAAGAAGTCTAAATGTTGCTAAAAATGGCCAGGCTAACCTGCTATACTGAGACCGTGCCCCTCCACACGCATGCTGCCATCAGATAGTGAGTGTGTTGCCATGACAATGGTCAGTGTGGAAAAGCTGCTGAATTTTCTACATTCTGAAAGATTTTCCTGAACCTGCCTACATGACTGTCATTTGTTCTTGCATATAAAAACCTCATCAAGGCTGGCCATTTCTCACTGTGTCTCTTGCCCTCCTTCCCCCATATTAAAAACAAAGGAGCGGGGAAGCATGAATTGATTTGGGAAGATGGGATGGCAATGATGGAGTGGATGGATTAAGCTCCACTCTATGGGAGGAAGTTTAGCCAGCATGTCTCATTGAATTTGTCCAGCCTTTGAGCTTGGGGTTTTTTCTCTTTCTCACCACATCCCTTGGAAGCACAAAAGATGGGATATTTACCCTACTGAAGATCAAACTTGGGAAGGCTCATCTTATAGAGATGTATTCTATATGCCACAAGTTGACTGGAGGGACAGGCAAATTTAGAATTCACCTTATCCCATCTTTACTGTCCATTAGTCTTTCCAAGAGGGAAAAAACAGACAAAAATAAAACCTTGGAGAGTCAATTCAAGCTGTTAGCTTCATACAGGAAAAAGCTATGTTTTGCTCTAACAAATTGCTCTTCTCATGCCAGTGAATCTCAAAGATATGTGTCAGTGTTCACAAGGAAGTGTGGATCGCTCAGCCTAGCTCATGCCCACTACTGTAAAATTATCCTCGCACCATCTTCATGTTCTCAAACTTGTTTGACTTTCCTCTGGTTGATGTACTCCAGAGGAATTGGCTCACAATGAACTTTATAGAGTTGGACTAGTGCTGATGTGATCAATCCCCATGGGACCTATCTCCCCAAGCCCACCTGGCTCTACATGAGGAAACAAGGGTAGAGTTTTCTAGTCCCTGGTATGGATAACATTTGAATCAAGTAAAGGTCCCTAGGGAGCCACAAGCTTCTTATTGCAGCCCAGACCCAAGCTTCTGTGGAGGAGTACAGAGGGAGAGTGAGTTGCACATGTGTGAGTATGTGCTGGCATTGTAACTGGAGGTTATAACTCACTTGCTCTGAGTTCCCAGACTGTGCCCCAAGTTTTCCTGGAATAGAAAAGAAGACAAATAGGGCCAGGAGGTAAGGAGGAGGAGAAGGAGGGGGAAGACACAAGAAGAAAGAGAAGGCCTTCTGCACATCTGCCTTTTCTGACCCTTAATGAAGGAGGCTTAGTTAGCATCCTCTACAGTGCAGGGTTGGGAAGATGGATCAGCCAACTGATGTGGATGTAGGGGAGAGACAACATAGGTGAAATAAAAGAACAATAACTACTACTTATTTTACAGATGAGGAAACTAAGGCTCAGAGAGGATATGTAACTTGACCAAGGTCACATTTGTTCGTTCATTCAGCAAGCAATTACTAAGCAAGTTCTATGTGCCACACACAGTGTGCTAATAGGTGGTAGACCAGTCTCTTTGAATTGGGGCTTTAGAGTCAGGCTTTTTGTCCTTTCCACTGCCCCTCATCTCTTTGCAGTGTTGCCCTGCTAAGTCTATTTGACATACCTCATTTTTCCATTCCTATTTTTTTAACCACACCTACCCCTGCTTTTTCCAATTACCCCTAGTAAACCCTTCCTACCCTTCACTGCATATCTGGCACCTTCCATGTGGCTGATCCAAAACACCTGAAATCTGATGTCCCCTTGGAAATCAGCCAAGGGCAACACTTGAAATTCTGGCCTCTGACACAGGCCTTTCAGCCTTCTCTAACCCCCTGTCCCTGCCATGCTCCCATCACCCTACCACACTATTATTGAATCTTTTTACTCCATTCTGAACTGAATAGAGAAGTAAAAGTGAAGGACAAAAGGTGGAAGAAGCCAACCCATCTAGCTCCTACTACCTGAAGTGTGTTGTGTTCACTAGCCTCACTCTGCTATTTACAGTTCCATGGCTCCAAGATGAGGCCCTTTGCACATCTACTGTTAATGTTCTCAGGAACACCATTGTACTAAGTGTAAGCAGCACCTCCTCTGGCAGTTTGAAGTCTGGGATTGACATTCTTCTAGGGACTAGCAATTGGGGCA